TAGATCTTGGACCCACTGCCAGTGGCCTCACATATTGTCCCAGTCACACCATTGTCACCTATATTAAGGGAGTCTAGTTCAATCTTATGCAGGTTCCCCATTTTTCAGACCTGAACCAGTGATCTCTCACTAGTTCGGGTCAGCTGACTCTGTGGGTTTCCCTATTATGGTCTTAACTCCTTTGTTAATGTTATTGCTCCTCCCTCACTTTGATTGTACTCCAGAAGTTCATTCCAATTGTTAGTTGTGGATTCCTGCATCTTCTTTCATCTGTTTATGGAAGAGGGTTATAGCTTCTCTGGGGTTGTGGATTGTAGGGTGGGTATTTTTTGCTTTATGTCTGGTGTCCACTTATGAGTGAGTACATACATATTTGTCTTTCTGGTTTTGGATTACCTCACTTAGGATGGTTTGTTCTAGTTCTGTACATTTGCCTGTGAATTTTAGGATGTCATTGTTTCTTACCACTGAGTAGTACTCCATTGTGTAAATGTGTCACATTTTCTTTATCTGTTTTTCAGTTGAGGGGCATCTAGGTTGTTTCCAAGATCTGGATATTACAGATAATGTTGCTATGTTGAACAAATGTTGCATAGTTGAACAAATGTCCTTGTGGTGTGAATGTGCCTCTCTTAGTTGTATGCCCAACAGTGGTATTGCAGGGTTTTGAGGTAGGTTGATACCTAATTTTCTGAGAAATCACCACACTGATTTCCACAGTGACTGTACAAGTTTGCACTCCCATCAGCAATGGAAGAGTGTTCCTCTTTCTCCACTTCTTCTCCAGCACAAGATGTCATTGGTGTTTTTGATCTTAGCCATTCTGATTGGTGTAAGATGGAATCTCCCAGTGATTTTGATTTGCATTTCTCTGATGACTAAGGATGTTGAACATTTCCTTAAGCATCTTTCCACCATTTGAGATGTTCTGTTGAGAAAAATGGTTTAGACACCATTTTTTAATTGGAATATTTGGTAGTTTGAATTCTAGTTTCTTGAGTTCTTTGTATATTTTGGAGATCATCCCTCTGTCAGATGTGGGGTTGGTGAAGATCTTTTCCCACTCTTTAGGGAGCCATTTTGTCTTGTTTCTCAGTTTCAGGAGGTTCCATTTATTAATTGTTGCTCTCAGTGTCTGTGCTATTGGTATTCTATTTAGGAAGTGGTCTCCTGTGCCTATGCATTCAAATGTATTTCCCACTTTCTCTTCCATGAGGTTCAGTCTAGATGGATTTATATTGATGTCTTTGATCCATTTGGACTTGAGTTTTGTGAATGGTGATAGATATGCATCTACTTACATTCTTCTATATGTCAACAGCCAATTATAAAAGCACCATTTGTTGAATACTCTTTGTTTTTCCATTTTATATTTTTTAGTTTCTTTGTCAAAAAATAGGTGTTCATAGGTGTGTGGATTTATATAAGGGTCTTCAATTCAATTCCATTGGTCCACCTGTCTGTTTTTATGCCAATACCAAGCTGTTTTCATTACTATAGCTCTATAGTAGAGCTTGAAGTCAGGGATGGTGATGCCCCTAGATGATCTTTTCTCATACAGGATTGTTTTGGCTATCTTGGGCTTTTTGTTTTTCCATATGAGTATTGTTCTTTCAAGGTCTGTGAAGAATTGTGCTGGGATTTTGATGGGAATTGCATTGACTCTTTTTATTGTTGAATGTGTTCTTATTTTGTTATCTATGCATCTCTTCCTATAATGGGTATGGATGGAGCTTGTGTTTCAGGGGTTCTTTCTTTCTCCAATTGGTATAGTTGGGGGGCTGTGGCTCCATTGATCACTCCTTCAGGCCCTAGTAGAGCAGAGCTTCAGGTGAACACTCTTCCCGGTGGAAGTGGGCCCAATGCCCATTCACACCATGTCAGATACCAGAGAAAAATGGCATTAGCAAAGATAGAAAGACACAACAGTACTAGAGGCATTCTTGAACAGAAACTTTCTGGGCCTTGCCTATCTGGATTTTATCCATCAATGCCTTGCATGCTGGTAGGCACATCTCCTGAAGTCAATTGCCACCTGGTACTACTCTGACATGGCCATTGGCAGAGAACCATGTTGTTAGGATAAAGGGTGAGGGGAACCTTGGCGAGGGACAAACATGCCAGGCAGACAGAACTTATGTGAGAAGTTTTATTAGAAAGGACAAGGTGGAGGTGGGGGAGGAAAGAGAAAAGAGGTAAAGAGACACAGAGACAGAGAGAGGACAGAAGAGAAGGAGACAGGAACATGGGAACAGCGGGGAAGAGAGAAGGAAAGAGAGGAGCGGGAAAGAGAGAGGGAGAAGAGAGGAGCGGGAAAGAGAGCATAAGTGGGCGGGGATCTTTCTTTTAATGGGGTCCTTTGCACCTGGGCTGACCAGGGCACTGCCTGAGTGCATTCATCCAGGTGACAGGGGCAGGTCAGCATAATGCCTGAATTCTTACACATGCAACAACTCATAGAGAAGCTAATTAACAAGGAGGGCTCAAGAGGAGGTTATATGAATCTCACTGTGAAGGGGAAATAGAATGGACATTATCAGTGGAAGCAGGGAGCAGACTGGAAAGGGAGAATTCGGAAGGGAACAGGAGGTATCAGGTGGGGGAGAGAATGGGTGGAGGAAGAATTGGGAGAGACAACTGGAATCTTGGCTACATCTGGGGTGAGCTAGAAACCTAGAGCAATGGAAACTCCAGGAATCTATGAAGGTGACCATTACTAAGACTCCTAGCAACAGGGGCCATCTCCTGTAGCCAGTCAATAATTCCAGTGGAGGGAATGGGACACCAACCAAGCCACAAACTCTTTGTCTTACAATTTGTCTGTCTACAAAATGTAGACGGGGTAAAGATGGCACAGAAATTGTGAGAATTAACAACTAGTGACTGGCACCGCTGGCAGAGAGCTCACGCCTGAGGGCTAGGACCCAGAGGCAGAATACAGCAGAGAACTAGGACAGAAGCAAACATGACTGGCAGAAGAGTCAATGAAATGATTTCTCGTGATATTCTACGTTCCTAGATCAGTGCCTAACCCGACTGTCATTAGAGAGGCTTCAACCAGCAACTCTTGGAAACAGATGGAGAGACCCACAGCAAACATAGGTGGATCTTGGGGAATTCTGTTGAAGGGGGCAGGGAGAAAGGATTTTAAGAGCCAGTGGGGTCAAGGGCACCACAGGAAAACCCACAGAACCGACTAACCTGGCCTCATAGGGGCACATGGAGCCTGCATGGGATTGACCTATGTGATCTGGGATGCATCTCTGTATGCTGTGGATATGTTTTATTACCATTGATTTGGCCAATGGTCAGCAGAATACAGCCAGGTGGGAAATCCAAACAGACATACGGAGAGAAAGAAGGCAGAGTCAGAGAGATAACATATAGCTGCCAGAGGAGTAGGTTGCCAGAGCCTTCCTAGTAAGCCCAACCACGTGATGATACACAGATTAGTAGAAATGGATTCATACAACTGTGAGAGCTAGTCAGTAATATGCCTGGGCAATTTGCCACACAATTATAATTAATATTAAGCCTCAAAGTGGTTACTGGGAACTGGCATGTGGGAGAGAAACCCCCATTTACATACGATGTCAACACAGGGTGCGTACATCTACATAAAACCTGAGAAAACTTTAAAAAAGGATTCTAGACACACTAAAACAGAGTCAGAAATGGCTTCTTGGTTGCAGTATTGTTTCAGATAGGCTTTGTTTGCTGGCGGCCAGCAGATGTGTGACTCCTTTAAGAGACAGCTTTCTGGTTCATGCTGGCCACACAGATAGCACTTTTGGGTGGTCCTGCTATGGAGTACCTGAACAGGGGCTTGTGGACAGCATGCTGCAAGTTACTTGGTGGCAGTGTGGACCTACTGCTTCCCAGCATTGGAGGGGGATATTTGTGACTCTTTCTGGCACCCCTATCGTGTTGGAAAGCTGAGTGAGATGGAACCAACAGCCAAAGTGGCCTCTCTGGTCCTAGTGATGCCCACTTAAAAATGTAAAGCAATAGTCACAAAGTGATTACCGACGCACAGTAAAGACAGATTCAGACAAAAAGGCCCCTAAATGGGTCATAAGTATGCATAGGACTGGGAGAGAGAGGATAGAGGATAGACAGGGTCATAGTTAAAAATAAAAAACAATTTAAGGATAATAAACTGAGGTCCTTAAAGGAAAAATAGAATAATAAAAAGGTATAATGGGGCATGTGTTTTCTTTGAACTTTTTGGATGCTAAAGAGCTCTAACTACAGAGAGATATTTGATTGTGGGTACTGCTAAGCTAAACCATCATAAAGGCATCTTCACTTTAAAATTTGGGTCTAAGGATATGTTGCTTTGGAAAAGAGTTTTCACTTTTGTTTCTACATAAGATGAGAAGCTGTGGATTCCACCCAGGCTAATATGGGTTGATCAGGTAAAACTCCCCGAGAGGAGTTAGGCTTTCTAGATATACAGAGATATATTTCAGATGGATAGGCAATCTTAAAACACTTCAAAGACCTACAGAACATGACATTTAAAATGTTTTAAGAGCTTAGAATTTTTTAAAACTAATTTTTATTTAAATAAAAAACAATCTTATTTTACATACCAATCCCAGTTCCCTCTGCCCCCCATCCTCCCATTCCCCCTACAAATCCCCATCCCACTTCCCCATCCACTCCTCAGGGAGGATGAGGCCTCCCATTGGGGATCATCAAAGTCTGTCATATCAGTTGGGGCAGGACCTAGGCCCATCTCCACATATCTAGGTTGAGAGAAGTATACCTCCATAGAGAATGGGCTCCCAAAGCCCATTTGTGCACTAGGGTTAAATACTGATTCCACTGCTAGAGGCCCATTTGAAAATTCTCTATTTAGATCTGTACCTAATTTTTGAAAGGCTCTATATTTTTTATTACTGGACAAACTATTCCCAACTTAAATATGACCAAATCTCTAGGTTAAAAATGTTGAACTCCATCTGGTAGCATAGCTTACACTGACCATAATTCAGGCAAACTCTCAAGTCTTGCCATTGATTGTGTGAATCCTTACAGGCCCAGCTTGGTTCTCCTCCAGTGTCTTCTCTTGGAGTTGTACCTGATTTTGTTACCAGTTTTCATCTGAATCCACTGAGGAATAGGATGATTTTGCTTTTGTTTCTTTGCCAGGAATCGTCTGATTCTGAGAGTCTTGTAAGAAGACAGGGCGAGAAGCCGACTCAGGTGTACAACACATGATGGCAGAGAGAAGGCGAAGAGAAGTGTATCCAATTTTTAAAATTGGATTATTTGGTGTTTTGGTGACTGCCTTCCAGTTCTTTGTACATTTTGGAGATCAGCCCTCTGTCAGATTTGGGGTTGGTGAAGATCTTTTCCCATGCTGTGGGCTGCCGTTTGACAGTGAGACACATCTGCTCCTGGCAGTAGCAATAATGTTAAGAGGATAATGGGCTTTGAAGAAACTCCTTATGGATTTTGCTTTGAAAGTGGCAAGGCTAGCCATCAGCAAGAAACTGCTTTTGCCTGGACTGCTTTACTGTACGCTGTATAAATTGGACATGCAGGACCCACAGGAAAGAGCCTGATAAACTACCAATATAGGTGGGACTGCTTCAAATTTCCTGCTTCTCTGAGAAGTCTGCCAGACACGTTAGGCCTATAGGCTGAAGACGGATGCCCCAATGTTACAAAAGAACTTTGTGTGACTGTCTAGGTGTTGGGCCCCAGCCCCCACGGAGTCTCTGTGAGTGGCCGGTCAGCCAACAAGTGCATCCTGTTTTCCAGTCCTGGCTTACAGCGTCAGCCTTGCCCCATTGACAACATCTAGCAGGAGAAAAACATGATCTCTTCTACCTGGGACTTTTCCACTGTGCTGTAAGCCCGTATATAAGGCTGCTCACCATCTACAAGCACAAATGACCAGACCTCTTGTCTTTCAGTTCAATCTCCAGGTTTTTGCCTGATTATTAGACTTGGTTGTGGCATGGGCACCACAATTGGAGGTTCCATCGAGATCTGGAAAGAAAGAAGACCCTGAGAGATTGCTTTCAAAGAATTTATGAAGGTGAATTGAAAACAGGTTCATTTAAATCTCCAGGCTTTCACCTGACACCAAGGTCAGGAAAGGAAAGGGAACCTGAGAGATCACCCTCTGAGGCTGGCCAGCAAGTAAGGATTTTAGAAGGTGTAGGGAAATGGGTACCTCAGCTTCTAAGGCTGTATTGATGGAACAGTTAGTAGAATTGTTGAAGAGACAAGGTACCATCATTGAGTGAGAAACAACTAAATTTTCTTTTAACTTTGGAAAAGACAAGTCCATGGTTTTTAAACTCTGGAGGGCTAGGAACAAGTTAAAAATGTCCTTCAAAAGGCTCTTCAGAAAGAGGGACCGGAAAGTTTTCCTATTGCCACTTTTCCCCTTTGGAGATTAGTGAAAGATGCCCTATTGAGTGACAGTGCTAAGATGAAGGAACAAATGACTGATCTTGAAAAAACATTTAAAAATGCCCAGGAGGAGCAGTTAGTAAATTACTGCCCATGTTTAGCCTTAAACTGTACTCCTAGTGATTGGCTACAACTGTGCTGTGCTATATGACAAGGAGTGGGCAAGGCTGTAGCTCCTGAGTGTAGCTCAGAACTTCTTGAATGGAGAGATGATGAGGGGCACACAGGACTTTTTTACCACTCAACCAGTTGCTTTAAGAAATTCTGTTACTCGTAAGTCAGAAGACTAGACAGGACTGGGACATTTTTAGCTGGGGCCATTGTGACTAAGCCGCCACCCATATAGCCTATTCCAATCATATGGAAGTCAGAGCAATCCACATGGGTAGACCAATGGCCCCTACCTAAAACAAAATTGGAGGCTGATCATCAGTTGGTGCAAGAGCAATTGGTGGCTGAACATATTGAACCTTCTACCTCCCCTTGGAATACACCTATTTTGTTATAAAGAAAAAAAATTAGGAAAATGGAGACTGCTACAGGATTGGAGAGAGGTCAATAAAACTGTGATGGTCATGGGTGCCACACAACTGGATTTGCTCACTCTGGTAGGAATTCTGAAAGATTGATTTTTATTGGTCATTGGTTTACATCCTAATGATTGTACAATTTGCCTTTAGTATGCCTTCCATTAGTTTTAAAAAATTACTTTAATGTTAGACAAATTAAAATTTTTGAAATTTCTTTTAAATGATACAGCAAGCCTTAGATAGATCACATCGTACAGGTCACTATTATGGCATATAAGATAAGTTTGAAAATCTTTGGCAAAGGACCTGATGTTATTGTTACTCCTTGAAACTCCTCTCAAATTGCCTGGCTGCAACAGAATATTTATGGTTGGAAATGAAAAGATGGTGAAGGCCATGAGGGCCTTTTTCAATCTTTTGTTTTAATTCAAGGATTGGCTGGAGTTGTTCTGTCAACAGAGATTTCAATTAAGGAAGATTCATTTCAACAAGCTAATATGACCTAGGGAAAAAGGATGACTAAAAGATGTATGTGTGCTCTGTGTATATGGTGTGACCACACCAGTATGTATGAGATGTGCTTGTGAATGCGTGAATGTTGACAAAAGGAGCTGTTTGAATTGCTTTGGATATGATTAAAAGGATACTTAAATTGCTTTGAATATAGTTTAAAAACTACCTAAATTGCTTTGAATATAGTAAAAAAGAACATCCAGTCAATGTCCTAACAGGAAAGGTTGATGATTTGAGTCCTCAGAGCCCATCAGTGGAAAAATAACAGAAGTCTACAACATGGCCTGAGAGCCAAAGAAATATGTATGGATGATTCTATAGAGTTTAGCAGAGGGGAAGACACAGAAAGTCATCTAAATTTTTATGGTTGGAAAAAAATCTAGAGAAAGAAAAGTTTTTGAGAAGAAGCCTCAGGGAAACTGCTGCCTTGTTAGACTCCACCTACAAAGGAGTCAATATAGATACAAATTAGGCCATATCAACTAAGATACAAATGAGGCCTTGTCAGCTAGTGAGAGCTTTACAAATTGGATTAGAAAAAGAGTACTCACAAACTTCAAGGAATTTTCAAAAGTTATTTGGGACATATGTTATAACCTAAAGAAATTAAGCCTCAAAAATTAGAAAGGATAGTTTGTAACCTTTGAGTGATTTTCAGAAGTTATTGGGAAATGTTCAAAGGTTGCATCCTTTTTAAGGGCATCTACTGGTGCTATAAAACCTCTAAATGAGATTCTAAAAGGAGATAGTGATCCCAATTCACCTAGACAGTTAACTAAAGAGGGTAGACAAGTTCTTCTACTATTAGAGTGTAGTCCAGCATCAACAGATGTTACAAAACCATGGGAAATTTATGCTGTCTCCCCAGACAAAATGTTAAATTATTATTTTAAAGCAGTAGCGTTTATAATATAAAAATGCCGTATGGAATCTAGGAGATATTTTGGCAGAGAACCAAGTATGATACATGTTCCTTATACCAAACAACAAGCTGGATTGGTTGTTTCAGAACAGTGATTCATGGGAAAATACTTTTACTCACTTTTCAGAGAGAATTGATAATTAGTTTCCAGCTCATCAACTGTTGCAATTTGCACTAACATATCCTTTTTTATTCTCAAAATTGTAGAGAGCAGTTCTGTAAAAAAATGCTATATCAGTTTTTACTGATGGTTCCTCTAATGGAAGAGCAGCTTATGTTAAAATACATGGAGCAAACAACTCCGGCTTCAGCTCAGATAGTTGAGTTACAGACTGTAAGATGGTTTTTCAACTTCTAGTAAATGATTCACTTAATTTGTGTACTGATAATCATTATGTTTTTAAAGCTCTTCAATGAATAGAGACAGTTCAATGCATAGGAACTGGCAATGATCAGGTTAGAATACTGTTTGAGCAAATTCAAAATACAGTTCATCTAAGAAAATTGCCACGTCTTGTGGGTGACATGAGAGCCCATTCAAACCTTCCCAGACCACTGGCTAAAGGGAATGAGTCAACAAACGGATTAACAAAACTTGTCACTTTATCTCAGGTAGAGAGAGCTCTGTAGTTTCATAATTTTCATCATCAGAATAATGGGATTCTAAGAAAGCAATTTGGTTTAACTAGAGAGACTTCTCACCAAAATTGTCAAGAAATGAGGTGTGCCCACAAACTAATTTAAAATGATGGCAAATAGTTGTTAGTTTTATTACAGAATTTGGCAAGTTAAAATGTGTACACATAGTAGTTGATAGGTATTTAGATTTCTTGATGGCCACTACACAAACTAGAAAAGCCACCAAACATGTGATAAGTCATTGTTTAAAAAATGTTTTGCTTACATGGGAGTTCCAAAAATGATAAAAACAGACAATGGGTCTAGATACTCAATGGAAAATTGATCAAAACATAACTTCAAAAGATAAATAAAGGGGAGGGAGCAATGTCCCCAGTCTCCACATGATGCAAATTTTTTAAATGTGCATGCCAATGAGCAATCTGCTGCAGACAGACTCTGGCATGATTGAACTTGAGCAACTTTTGCTCAGGTCAAATGGAGACATCCATGCACTAGACAGTGGAGAAAACCCAATTCTGCCCTAATTTGGGGCCGAGGGTGTGTTTGTGTTTTCTTGCAGGAAAAGAATAAAGCTCGGCGACTGCCAGAACATTTGGTGAGATGCATGAAGCAGAGAAAAACCTGACCTGAGACCATGGGAGCCTGCCCATGCCAGTTCGAGCTAGATCCCCTGAACCAGTCTTCCTGACCCTTAATGTCATCGAATCTACAGTCTGAGAAAGAAAGGAAAAACCAGTTGGATCAAGATTTCCAGTTCCTCAGCAGGCCTGCTGCATCAACTTCCCAGACCTGTGACTTTTCATCCTGGAGCTGACAAAAAGCGGGATGACTAGAAGTTTGCCTTTGACACACCTTGAGACACAGAATTCATTTTGCCAGCTTTTCCTTTTGGGGAAAAATGGATCCATTTAAAACACTGGTATGGACTGTGATCAGTGACAAAAGCCACTTTTCAGTATTTGAACAGGACATGGCCGCTTAAAAAAGCTGTTGAAGTGGTGAAATATCAGCCTTGGTGGTTCTTGTTCCTGGAATCGTGCCTATGCCAGTATATTTCTCCAGAGAAATGCAACTTGCCCTAATGCGGCAAAAAAGAGATTTTTGGTGCCACTGCTGGGGTGATTGTAGCTATTGCTGTTGCTGCTCCAGCAGCCATTGCATCTGGGACTGGAATCTCACAGTCTGTAACTACAGCCAGCACAGTGGATAAACTGGCAGGGAAAGTAGCAGAGGCTCTCAGCACTCAGAGCTTCTTAAATAACGGTCCAGGTAGGAATTAAACCTGTTTGCCTAGCCTGGTGCACATTTGTGTTACCCCTGCCAAAGTTAATACTTATCAATTGACCAATCAAATTATTAGGATGAACAAGACCCAGGTTCCTTCGTCCCCTAGAGAAATACTCCTTGGGGGATTATAGATGGCAGGCTGTTTAATCAAAGAATGGACTGGGTCCCTATCTCTGGGCCTTGTAACCATAGGACTTATCATATGCTTCATTTGGCTAAGGCACCTTATCACTAGACAAGCCCAGGCTTGATTTGTCACTCAAGGACCACAGAGAATCCTTCAGCTTGACTATGGTTGACCCTACAGAAAAATTAGATAGCCAATGACAGGTGAGACTAAGGGGATGCCAGCCAACCTAAGACAAGGAGGGTCATACAGCCTGGGTGATTTCTCCATTGACAGGTAAGGTTGGCATTAACGTCCTAGTCATCAGAGACAGGCCCTAATTTATATATAAAGAAGTGGGAGATGTTGGGCCCCAGCCCCCACGGGGTCTCTGTGAGTGGCTGGTCAGTCAACAAGCACATCCTGTTTTCTAATACTGGCTTACCGCCCCAGCCTTGCCCCACTGACATCAACGTCTAGCATGAGGCAAACACGATCTCTTCCACCTGGGGATTTTCCACTGCACCGTAAACCTGTATATAAGACTGCTTCTTCTCTACAAGAAAGAAGAGACCTCTTAGCACAAACAACCTCACCTCTTGTCTTTCAGTTCAATCTCCAGACTTGCTTGTGGTGTGGGCACCACATCTAGGCAGTTAGATGTCTCTGTCATCTCTAGAGTTTAGGAACTTGCTTACAATGCATATCCTGTTTACTTAGGTAATATATCCTTCTGGGGTCTTGGATGGAGTTGAAGACTAGATAGCTCTAATTATAGTTTTCCTTAGTTATGATAAAAGTAAATTAGATATGAAACTTTAGACTAACAAAAATAGGACAGATAAGAGTATTTTCTTTAATTTTGCCAAGTACAAATAGACTAAGTATCATAGCTGTAATTCTTACTTGATAACTCTTTTGTTATAGGTAATTTTACAAAGTTAAATTAAAACCTTCCTTTTTGATTAGCTAGAAAAGAGGAGATAATGTGGAGCACCCCTCTGTATGCTGTGAATGTGTTTTATTACCATTGGTTTATCAAGAAACTGATTTGGCCAGTGGCCAGACAGAATAGAGGCAGGTGGGAAATCCAAGCAGAGATACAGAGAGAAAAAAGGCAGAGTCAGAGAGGCACCATGTAGCCACCAGAGGAATAATATGCCAGAACTTTATCAGTAAGCCACGGCTACATGATGAATCACAGATTGGTAGAAATGGGTTAATTTAATTGTGAGAGCTAGTCATTAGTATGCCTGACCAATTGACAAAACAATTATGATTAATATTAAGCTTCAGAGCAGTTATTCAGGAACTGGACAGTGGGAGAGAAAACCACAGTTCTAGACCGAGACCATCTGCATTTATGTTACAGTCATGTAACTACTTGTGGGACTCCTAACACTGAGAGCAGTGGTTGTCTCTGATGGTGTTGCCAGCTTTTGGGACCCATTCCTCCTCCTGGATTGCCTTATCCAGTCTTAATAGGAGAGAAGGTGCCTGCAGCTTGATATATTATGGTTTGACTGATATCCATGGGATGCCTGCCTGTATCTGTAAAGAAATAATTTAGGGGGAGTGGATGGAGTGGAGTGAAGGGAGATGGAGAGAGAGAGGGAAAACTTTGAAAGAGCAAATGAGTAAATAAATAAACAGGTACAGAGGCTAAAAGAAAGAAGACATGCACATTCACAGCTGCAGAGAATGAGTTACAGAAAGCTGACTCAGCACAGTGTCAGAGATGTGGCTGCTAGCTCATGCTCTACTTGAATTAAGTTGACTAGGATCCAAGTAAACAAGCAATTCAAGCTTCACCACCAGCAGCCACTGATTGCTTTCACCATTTTCCAGGTCCTACTCATCTGTATGGAGTGAGTTCCTGAAAAGGTGAACCCTTGCCTGCCTCCCTCAAGGAACTCCCAACTGGGCTTTCCAGATTACCAGGACAACGAAGTCCCCTATCACCAGAGAGGGAGTGCTCACATCCATGGCTTACTAGGAAATGATACGTTCCAAGGTTTGGTGACCGCATGCGCATCGCCTTTCATGTTTCTTTTTAGTTTTGATTTCAGTTACCCTGTTGACATTCCACACTTCACAGTGGGCACGCTGGAAGCGGGTAAGCTTCTGAGGTGTATTGTAGTGATGCTTTGTGTATGCTTTAACAAATGAAGCTTGACTGAACATCAGAGTCAAAGCTAGTCAACATTAGTTAGCCTTAGAGGCTAGGTAGTGGTGGTACGCACCTTTAATCCCAGCACTTGGGAGACAGAGGCCAATGGATCTCTGTTAGTTCAAGGCCACTCTTAGCTACACAAAATTGATGCAGTCTAAAAGAGAAACAGAGCTCACACAAAGGTGGTCTCAGCACTTGGGATCCCATATCTTTAATCCAGCATTAGAGAGAAACATAAGGCAGGAGGAAACAGGAACTGAGTGCAGTCTGAGGTTTGGTGGAGAGCAGTGCAGTCTGGAGATGCAATCTGAGGCCAGAATCGCCCCTTCAGTGTGAGCATTGGTAGACCGAGAACCCTCACGTGGTTGGCTGTTTTGCTTCCCTGCTCTTCAACCTTAACCCCAATATTTGTCTCTGGGTTTTTATTATTAATACCATCTAGAATTTGTGCTACATTCAAAAGGCACCATTGATGCTATAACATGGGCATTTCTTAGTTTTGTTAATATCTTAAATATATCTTTTCAAACTTGAGATTATGGGGGCAAGATTCCTTAAGATTGTTCTTATGTGGTTGAAAATAAATAAACATATTTCACATTGTTAAAAAAGAATTTGTGCTGCAGTGTAACTTCATCTATAAAGATAAGTCAGTTTATCTGGATTTAACTGAGAGAACTAACATCCAGTTCCTTAAAACTTCATGTTCCCTTCCAGTGTCTGAAATCAGCCAGGACTGCCAGTGCCTTTGGGGCAGAACTTGCTTTGAGATCTGCCTGAGCCCAGTGCAGCTTTTATCCTACTCTCTACTGTGTCTCCATCTCTGGCATCCTGTGCTGGCACCAGGGTGGTCACCCCTTCAACAACTTCCTTGTGGGTGGGTGTGGCTACTTCTACTGCTTACTGAGGGCTTCCCAAACCACCATAGCACTTCAGCTCAGAGGCATTTCTAGTTGTCCTATTTTAAAACTTACACACACACACACACACACACATACACACACGCGCGCGCGCCTCTCCCTCTGCCCCCCTTATATTCATTGACAGATAACATTCTGGGATCCAGGTTAAAGGTTGTGGATTATAGTTATTTGGGTAGATGATTCTGCAGGAGGCTTCTAGTTTGTTCCAGAGTTTAATCATTCAGTTTTTATTTTCCCTGTTTTCTCTCAGTGATAGGCATATGTTTTGTCTCTGATTGATATGTCAGGGTCAGTCTTGAGCCGTGGTGGATAAGGCATGGACATTTCTTATGAGAGTGAAATGCATTTCTTACTTTATCATAAGCCCTAGCACTGTCTTCATAATTTGCAACAGCAACACCCAGTATAAAATGAAAATGTTACATCCTCTGTTCAAAATAAAAAAGTGTTACTGAAAGTATTGAAATTAAATTTTCTTCTTTAGTTTTCTATTTAGGTTTATGTATTTATATTGAAACAGTTTCACCATGTAGTCCTAACCTAAAACAAACCTGATTATGTAGCTAGCTGGTGACTGGTCAAATTGTAGTGATCCTCTTGTCTCAGGCTCCTAAATGTTGAGACTACAGCTGTGAGCAATCTAGATTATTTATTTTCTGGGATCCAGAGTCTCATTGTAAAACCCAGGCTGACCTCCAAACACGTGTCACCCTCCCTGAGTGCTGTGATTGCAGGTTGTGTCACCATCCCTAGCTCTACCAAGGAGTTTTAAAACCACACTTAAGGCTGCTCCCCAAAAGGCACGTGGGCACTCAGAGAAGATGGGAGGAACCACAGTGACCTCTTACTGCTCTAGGCACCACATCCTTCCGAGTTCCTCTTCCTGTCTTGGCAGTGGTGGACCACGAGGAAGAACCAAACTATTGACCATGGCAATATTCTTTTGAGGCCAGTGTCCTGAGGCCCAAAGGATAATGTGCCTCATGAGGAATGACAGATACATAAACGGCACTGAAGAAATGCTACTAGGAAATGTATGTTCTCCAGAGAGTCAGAACCAGAGCATTGATGGACCCAGATGTGATCAAGCATCTAATGGTTAGAGCAAGACAGACTACAGCCACAAAGTCCACTCCTGAGTATTGCATCTCTACATAGAAACTGATAGCTCCCTGTGCATCTAGTGTCTGCAGACTCCCAAAGAGATTTGCTGAATGCAAAAACCTTTGGAGTATAACTTTCTTTTGTTTAGGGTTTGCTTTCCATGTTTCAGTCATGAAATAGGCATGGGGAAAACAGTGGTGCAAATAATTTGGCAGAGATAAATGTCAGTTGGTTGAGTCATACATAATCTGTTGAGAAGAAATTTGACTGAGCAGTAGCTTAGAATTTCAAAATCCCAGAAAGTCCAGGAACTTGAGAAATAGAGGTGCATTGCACAGTCTCAGCTGAGAGTCCACGTCCTGGTGGCCCTTTTGTGACTGACCTTTTCTGCTCTTCTCTACCAGTAAGGGCAACAGGCTTTCAGATTTCACAATTCTCAGGACTCAGGTGGTCACCTGGAATGTCCCTCTGAGGACAACGTCCCAAACTACTTTCCTTTTCAGCTCTCTAACAGTTGCTCTGCTGGCCTCACGGTCCCATCTGAAACAGAAAGTCTACCGTCTACCTCTGTAGTATGAAGACTTCTGTTCTCTGGCTAAAGCTTCCTGACTATGTAATAGCATGTGGGAGGGGCAAATACACTCCACTGCAGCCACACCCTCTGGCAAAGATACAAATAGTGATGCTTGGGACTGGTCTTCAGAGCACTCTGCCTTCACCATGAAGTCCAGCGGCTTCTTCCCTTTCATGGTGCTCCTTGCTCTGGGGATCTTGACATCCTGGGCTTTGCATGGACCATTAAGATGTGAGTGGGAGTTATTTTGATCTCAAACTGCCTAGAGTGTCAGAGGTGAGGGCCCCTTCTCTAGGCTGTTCCCCAGATTACTCTGGACCTCCCAGAGGATCCATGTGTTACTGGGGTCAGAGGTTCCTATGACACTTCAAGGCATGGAAAAATGTTTCCTTTATTACTAAACCACCCTGCCAATTCAGGTCTCACTCTATCTCTGTTCCTGTCCTTTCTGTTTCTGCCTCTGGCTTTAGTTCTCAACATCTCACATGTTTGTTGCCTTCCTATTTATTTCTCTTGGCCTCCATTATTCCTACTCTCCCCCTTCTGTCTTTGTGTAATATAGCTTAGCCCTGAGGTGGAAAAACTTGACTGGGAACCCTATGTCCTTTGTCTGCAGTTTATGATTGTTTTTTTTCCTGTTTACCTGTGTTGCTTGACCAGGGCCTTCATTTTTTGTTAGATTTGTTTTGTTTTCTCCTGGGGTTAGCAGGTAATTCCACTTTGAAGTTGTGGGCTACTGGGATGAGGAGCTATACTCTGGAAAGTGGTCTGTTGTCTAGGAATTATGATAGATGTTCCATACTCTCCTAACATCTTCACATTCTCTTTAGATGCTATCAAACCTGGAGCTTGCTATTCAAGAGTAGCGCCGATATGCTCATATACTCAAATATCAACCTGTGAGTTTGACTGGGAATGTCCAGAAAATCTGAGGTGCTGCAAGTTTTTCTGTGGTCGCAAATGTATTGAACCTTTTACCATCAACAATCTAGGTGAGCCAGCAGAGGAACTGGGAGAGGAATGAATCTCAAGACCTATCACTGAAGGGGAGGGGTGGAGTGAAGGGGTCCTCCTAGGTGTGCTTGCTCCTAAGAGCTGTTGAATCCAACATGTCAGTCAGACAAAGCATCATTCTGCCATGGGCAGGAAGAGCCTCTTGTCTGAGAAGCCACTCTGTAATGGTTTTGAAAACAATCATCTGGGTGTTCAGACAGCCTGATGGAAGTCATCAACCCTTTCAGTACCAGACAGCTGGCCACCTGCATTGTCTGGAGGCCAGATGTTAGAGAGGAACCAGGTGCTGTTTCAGGGTAGGTGAGGGGGTAAATGGGGGTGATTTTCCTTGCTCTGGCTCAATAGGGTGGGTTAAAGTAGCAGCGATGTGGTGCCTGATGTTTAAGCCACCTGACCTGTGATTCTTCTGTCTCCAGTCAGGAAGAAGCCTGGCAAGTGCCCAGAGCTTAAAATGGAATGTTTGATGTTACGTCCTTTCAAAACCTGTGAGTGGGATGGGCAGTGTGAAGCTGAGTATAAGTGCTGCCAAAGTGTGTGTGGGAAACTCTGTTTTCCCCCACAGAAAGGTAAGGAGTGGGCTGGGGTGGATAGACCTCATTCTCTTTAACCCTTTTCAGCTTGAGGTCTCTGGAATTCAAGGCTTATGGCAGGGAGATTCTAACTAATAACCTTTCTCTGGTAGTACTTTAAGGAAGCTGTCCCTATTCTTAGGGCAAACGACATAGGATTGTCTGTGGCTTTGATTCTGTTGCAGCCTGTCTGGATAAGGGCCATGGGTGGATGACTTTCTGATGTCTATATCTACAGAATGGAAATGCTGACGTTGAAAATGTTTTGCAAGGCACTATATGCATTATTTGTTATCCCAGTTATTTACTTCATGGTGTCTAGAGCTTCCACTAGCTCTGTTTTAACTTCCTTTAATCTATATATTTCCATGTGGTCTTGTCTCACTGGAGAATGCCTGGTGCATCTTTCTTCCTTGGCTCTACATGATGACTCCAAGTGCCTATGTTTCCCAGAATTCTCATCTCCTATCCCTATCTACACTTCCTGCCTGGCCAATCAGCCAATCAGTGTTTTATTCATCAACAAATAAGAGAAACATATATACAGAAGGACATCTCCCATCAAGAGTCAAAGAACAAAGGATAGATGTAATTAGAGGGATGTCTAGTTCAATGCTCCGAGTTTAGAATCTTACAATGAGAACTCACTCTCCTGAAATCCACAATCCTCTCAGCTACAGTCCCCCTTTGTTGTTTGACTTCTCTCAGCTGGCTTCCTCATGGAGGACAGATGGAAATGATTTGTTTGGCTCCTGTGCTGAAAGTCTTATCTTATTTTCTCTTGTAGCCTGATTCCTGACATTTGCAGATGGCTTTGAACTCCTGCCCTGTGTGGTCTGGAAATTCCTTCTCTGCTCCCAGGTCCCCAACTCCCAGGCTTCGATCTAGTGGAGAGGGCTTGTTCTGCCACAAACAGCTCCTTTTGGCACGTGCTCAGCATTCAGGAGTCTTTAAGGAAATATCATTGAAGAGCAATTTAATAAACATGTTTATGTCTCTAAGCATACCTTGTTTATGCGAATCACTGAGGGGAAGGGTGTGATAAGAATCAATAAGAGAAGTCTTGGATATAAGACTGCCTTCCGCCTTCATGAAAGAGAAGTGGGAGGGTTCAAGGTTTGGGAAGTCTTAAATTTGCATTGTTAATCTATCAGTACTGACTCTGTGACATTGTGAAAAGCGACTTTACCTCCAAATATGTTTTAAAGTGGCAACAGAAACTACTTACTTATAATGTATAGGACATCAGAAGTTGCAGAGGAGTGCAAAGTGTGTGTAATATGCAGAGTGTGCAGAGAGTGCAAAGTGTGTGTAATATGCAGAGTGTGCAGAGGGGTGCAATGTTGTGTAATATGCAGAGTGTGCTGAGGGTGCAATGTGTGTGTAATATGCAGAGTGTGCAGAGAGTGCAAAGTGTGTGTAATATGCAGAGTATACAGAGAGTGCAAAGTGTGTGTAATATGCAGAGTGTGCAGAGGGGTGCAATGTTGTGTAATATGCAGAGTGTGCTGAGGGTGCAATGTGTGTGTAATATGCAGAGTGTGCAAAGTGTTGGTAATCAGCATCAGTTCTTGACCAAAGTCCACTCACACATGAAATCCACTTGGTATTATTAAAAACTGTAATGTGGCATATCTGCCTGTCTCTGCCCTCCAACTACTGGGGTTGTACACATGTGCACCCATGCCCAGCTTTTTATGTGCGATCTGGGGATCCAAAATGAGCTCCTATGTCTGTGCCATGGCATTTTAGTCACTGACACATTTTCCCAGTACCTTTCCCCATCTTTATATTTCTACTGAACAGAGACTGTAGAAGAAAACATAGTTATGATACAGCATCAACTCTAAGGACGGCTGTGATGACGCTTTGTAAAATGTTAAAAGTTAGAATCCACTGGAGTTTTAAGATGCCTCCAACAGTTTATTGGGAGTGTGACAGCTTTGTTAAGTTTAAGGCTAGAAATGAACACAGAGAGAAATGCACCTGAGACTATGTTTTAAAAAAGCTGTTGACAAAATCCAGCACCCCTTCATGATAAAGGTCCTAGAGAGATCAGGGATAACATGAACATACCTGAATATAATAAAAGCAATATACAGTAAATCAACAGCTAACATCAAACTAAATGGAGAGAAACTCAAAGCAATTCCTCTAGAATCAGGAACAAGACAAGGCTGTCCACTCTCTCCAAATCTCTTCAATATTGTACTTGAAGTTCTAGCTACAGCAATAAGACAACAAAAGGAGATAAAAGGGATACAAATAGGAAAAGAAGTCAGACTTTCACTATTTGCAGATGATATGATAGTTTACATAAGTGACCCAAAAAACTCCGCAAGGGAACTCCTAGAGCTGATAAACACCTTCAGCAATGTGGCAGGACACAAGGTAAACTAAAAAAAAAAAATCAGTGGCCCTATTATATACAGATGATGAAGTGACTGAGAATGAAATCAGAAAAACATCACCCTTTACAATAGCCATAAACAGCATCAAATATCTGGGGATAATGTTAACCAAGGAAGTGAAAGACCTGTATATCAAGAACTTTGAGTCTTTAAAGAAAAAAATCAAAGAGGATACCAGAAAATGGAAAGATCTCCCATGCTCTTGTATTGGTAGGATCAACATAATAAAAATGGCAATCTTGCCAAAAGCAGTCTACAGATTCAATGCAATCCCTATCAAAATTCCATCACAATTCTTCAAGGACCTGGAAAGAACAATAATCAACTTTATATGGAAAAACAAAAGGCCCAGGATAGCCAAAAACAACCCTATGCAATAAAGGAACTTCAGGAGGCATCACCATACCTGACTTCAAGCTTTATTATAGAGCTATAGTCCTGAAAACAGCTTGGTATTGGCACAAAAATAGCAGGTAGACCAATGAAACCAAATTGAAAACCCTGATTTTAACCCACACACCTATGAACACTTGATTTTTGACAAAGAAGCTAAAACTATACAGTGGAAAAAAGAAAGCATCTTCAACAAATGGTGTTGGCATAACTGGGTACTGGTATGCAGAAGACTGCAGATAGATTCATGTTTATCGCCTTGTACAAAACTTAAGTCCAAATGGATCAAAGATCTCAACATAAATCCAGCCACACTGAAACTTTTAGAAGAGAAAGTGGGAGATACTCTTCAATGAATTGGTACAGGAGACCACTTCCTGAACACCAGTGGCACAAACACTGAGATCGACAATTAACAAATGGGACCTCCTGAAACTAAAAAGCTTCTGTAAGGCAAAGGACACAGTCAGAAAGACAAAAAGGCAGGCTACAGAATGGGAAAAGATATTCACTGATCCCACATCTGACAGAGGGCTAATCTCTAAAATTTACAAGGAACTCAAGAAGTAAGTCTCCAAAACACCAAAGGATCCAATTAAAAGGTGGGGTACAGAACTAAATAGAGAATTCTCAATAGAGGAGGCTAAAATGGCCAAGAGACACTTAAGAAAGTGCTCAACATCCTTAGCCATCAGGGAAATGCAAATAAAAACAACTCTGAGATACCATCTTACTCCTGTCAGAATGGTGAAATTATCAAAAACACCAAAGACAATTTATGCTGGTGGGAGTGCCAACTCGTACAGCCACTTTGGAAATCAGTATGGAGATTCCTCAGGAAAATGGGAATCAATCTACCACAAGACCCAGCAATTCAACTCTTAGGCATATATCCAAAAGAGGCAAATTCATACAACAAGGGCATCTGCTCCACTATGTTCATAGCAGCATTATTTGTAATATAGAACCTGGAAGCAACCAAGATGCCCCTCAGCTGAAGAGTGAATAGAGAAAATGTGGTACATTTACACAATGGAGTATTACTCAGCAGAAAAAAACAATGGAATCTTCAAATTCGCAGGGAAATGGATAGCACTGGAAGAAACCATCCTGAGTGAGGTAACCCAGTCGCAAAAAGACAAACATGGTATGTACTCACTCATATATTGATGTTAGACATGGATCAGGATAGTGCTAGTCTGCACTTCCACTGATAGAGAGTCTGGGAAACAGGAAAGAACCTAAATATATGCATAGTACCCAAGAGAAGAGGAATGAGGCAAGATCCTCTGAACAGATGGGGAACACGGTGAGGGGTGGGGGGCGGAGTGGGAGCTGGGAAGAAGAGAGGGGGAGAAGAGGAAGAGAGAGTAGGTCATGGGGGAACAGGAAGGTTGAGTGGGGGGGTAGAATAGGGGGAAGAGGGAATCATAGGTTAGAAGACAGATCAGGCACCAGTGTGACCTCTAGTGATCTAAAGGGATGACACCAATTGGCAAGCTAAGCAATAGTGGAGAGACCACCTCGAATGCCCATTCCTGATAATGAACTTGATGTCTATAACTGTCTGGGAGCCTTCATCCAGTGACTGATGGAAGCAGAGGCAAACACCCACAGTTAAACACTGAACTGAACACAAGGAACCCAGTGACAGAGAGAGAGAGGAGCAATGAGCAAATTGGCAAAGAATGGGCTGGCAAAACCAGCACAGACAGCTGGTCTAAACAGGGGAGATCTCTTGGACCCCAGACCGACAGCAGGGAGGCCAGCATGGGACTGATCCTGACCCCCGAATGTGAGTGTCAGTGAGGAGGCCTGGGCAACCCATGGGGCCCTGAGCAGTGGATCAGTGTTTATCCCTGGAATACAGACATCATGTATTCATAGCACAAAGAGGGATGCTCTCTCAGCCTGGACTCTTAGGGGATTGCCTGGACCCTACCCTGAGTGAAATGACAGACTCTAGATATCCCCTATGTGGAAGGAATTGGCAAAGGGTGGGAGGCTGGGGGGGATGGGTGTGCAGGAGGAGGGGAGGGAGAGGGAACTGGGATTGACATGTAAAACAAGCTATGTAAAATTAAAATTAAAAGATTTAAAAAAAAGAAAAAAAGAAGAGAGAATCAGTTGTTGAAGAGTCATTAGAGGATATACAGTCATCAACCAAAGAAAACCTCAAAACCAACAAATCTCTAACACAAAATATCCAGGAAATATGGGACACTGTGAAGAAGCCAAACCTGAGAATAATAGGTATAGAAGGTGAAGAAATACAGCTCAAAGGTACAGAAAACACATTCAACAAAATCATAGAAGAAAATGTCCCTAACCTAAAGAAGGATATGCCTATGAAAATATAAGAATCTTACAGAAGTCCAAATAGGCTGGACCAGAAAAAGAAGCGCCCTCGCCACATAATAATCAAAATGTCAAACCTACAGAATAAAGAGAAAATACTAAGAGCTGCTAAAGCAAAAGGCCAAGTAACACATAAAGGCAGAACTATCTGAATTACACTCAACTTTTCAATTAAAACTATGAAAGCCAGAAGATCCTGGGCATATGTCCTACAAATGCTAAGGGAACAAGGATGCCAGCCCATACTACTATATTCAACAAAGCTTTTAATTACCATAGATGGAGAAAACCAAATGGAGGCCAACAGGGGACTGATCCAGACTCCATGAATGTAGTGCCAGTGAGGAGGCCACAGAAATCACTGGGGCTTTGGGTAGTAGATCAGTGTTTACCATGGTGCATGAATGATCTTTGGGAGCCCATTCCAAATAGAGGGATGCTCTCTCATCCTGGGCACATGGGGAAGGGCCTAGGTCCTCTCATGGGTGAAAAGACAGACGTTGGAGATCCCCCCAAGGAGGGCCTCACCCTCCCTGGGGAATGATGCAGGGATTGGGTGGGGGGTTGACAGGGCTGGTGGAGGGATAAGGGAGGAGGAGTGGGAGAGGGAGCTGGGATTGACATGTGAAGCATTCATGTTTCTAATTTAAATAAAAACATATATTGAGGAAAAAAACCTATATTAAGCTGAATTTCCAGTAGACTTCTCACTGATGTCAGAAACAGCAGGGTAACACATATATTTATGGATTATAATATTTTTCTGGTCTTTAATTGACAAGTTATAATTGTGTGTATTGATAGAGGATGATGTGATATGTTAACATCTGTTCACTATA